AAGTCACACATAAAGCCTCCATAACCTACAAACCACAAAAGTAAAAAAGAAAACTATGTTAAACAAAACAAAAAAGGCTACTTTGTCTGCCTCCTCTCCCTCCCATTTATGCCTTTCCTCCCCAAACCAACAGACTTGTGGAAGATTTAGAAAATATTCTCTCTTTGGACTTCTTTTGCATTTGCAGTTGATCCAGTTCTCCACTTGATTTAATGATGAATACCATTAGGTTATGTTCCATGCAAAAAGTAAAACATACAAACAGTAATAAAGACATTCATATTCCTTGCATTTTCCTGAAAGCTGGTTTTCTTTTCTCTAATTCTGAGGGGATGCTCTGTGCATTTTTTTCCATTTAGAATTAGTTTCCATGTCATAAGAATAATGAATATTTACAATGTGAGATCATGAACTCATCGAGTGCAATGCAAAGGGTCAATCCAAAATTGTTTGCGTTTGTATGGAGTTAGTTATAGAATAATCAGGAAAATGGCAGCACCTGGAACTTTTCCAATACTCTGGCAAACATCTATAAGGTAGACACTTTCAACCATTCCTAAGGTATCATAGTGACATAATCATCTCAGTCGTCATCTCTCCATCTTCTTGTCTTCTCCACAAACATGTATCTTCCCTACAGAGACACCTCTTGACTTCCACACAAGTATACATTCGTATAAAAAAAAAAAAATCACCCAAAAAAGGAGTTGACCAGGGAGCACTCATATCATCCCTTCTCCTTACTAGCGAGCAGCTCAATACTAGCTTTGCTATTATCTCCTGTGAAGGGCAAATGTCTGCATCTGCCAGTCATACAGCAATCACATTTGGGAAATAACTCATGAAGCTCTGTGAGATCACGGTTCTCTGATAAGAGCACAGTGCATCCTATAATGCTGATAGCACGGCTATGGCTAATGCAAACAAGAGCACCCTCGTTATTACTATGTTTTAAGCTCCTACCAGGTTTCCAGATTGATGACATCAAATTCCTTGCTCTCCTCAA